AAAGAGGGGAAAAATAGACTCAAAGAGGCTATTAACGGGTCAACTGGCCCAAGGAAATAGCAAAAAAAGTGCAACTGAAAAGTGGTTGCCAACAAGCAGTCTTGTAATACCTGCCCAGGAAGACAACACAGCTCCTCGTGATCCCATTTTTGTGGCCTTAACGCCTTTGCCCCCTCTCTCTGCATTCACCATTCTATACAAGAAAGGTAAATTGTTGCTGAGGTCCCTCAGATACGATACACCTCCTAAATCTGCTTTTTCCAAACACATAAAATAGGTATTGGCTCAGGGGGAACAAGAGACCAGGTACTCAAAAACGTGATGTAAGGTTTGTCATAGCCACAGCTCTTGGAACAGGTGCTCCAGGGGAGCTGCTTGCTAGTGCTTTGCATAGGGCATTGTTAACAATACCAAAATAAGTCTGTCTGCTGGATAACTTATTGCAATTAATGATGGGCCAGAAATGTGAGAAAACCTCTGAAGAATTAATCAAGAATCAACAGCGGTTTGTCTGGAGAGTAAAGGCGGATACATGAGATAAAACAGCTTACCACAAAACGGCTTTGACGAAGAGTGAAAAATGTAATACGGAAGAACACGCGTTGGATAAATCTACATTTCGTTTAGGTAAATAAAAAAGCAAATGCTAGTAGGAGGGGGAAAAAAAAGGCAAGACTTCTTCCTGTATGGCCACCACAAGGTCATACCTGCATGAGGCAAGCGCAAGGAGGGCAGACTTCTGAGTGCGGGAGCAGCACCCCTATCTCAGATGGGTGAAGAAGTAGGATCTACGATCTACTGTCAGCTCTTACAAAACGGTAAGGGTCTATTAGGCCAGCCAGTATGGGAGAATGAAAACAAAACAAAACAAAAAAATCAGTGAACTGCAGTTTCTTGTGCATCTCTTACACAAGCTTGAGAAAGGCACAAATTCTACACAGCCGATGTGAGAACAGCACCGAAAAGCAAATGAAGATGCTGCAAAGTGATCAGTCACCAAAGCTCATAGCAACCAGCGAGAAGGTGCAGAATATTCTACTCTCCAGCACCAGTCCCGTACAGAAGTTCTGCACTGTAGCAAAACAGAAAAGGCTTGATACCAGTGACAGATGCAAGTCTGTCAGATGCAAGGCATCAGTGTAACTGGTTTCGTGCAATTTGAAGTTGTGGTGGAAGCTGAATTTTAAATTAAGTCGAAATGTTAGAGCAGAGAAATGCTTGATGGGTGGGAGCAGATCAGCCAAAACTAAAAATTTCAGCAAAGTCTTCTTTGCAAAGAGAAAGTTTTACAGAAGAACCCGTGGGAATTGGTATTACCCAACTGTGACTGGAAGAACAATATTCCTTCTTGTAGACAAAGCTGAAAAAGGAGTAAGTTCCAGAAACGGACTGAAACTTCCCAGGAGAGCTGATGCTGATGAGGGACTGATAAGCACTCAAATGACTCGGTTGGGTGTCTCCCATATGCACATTCTTCTGTTCAAAGAGGAAAATGTTCCATCATAGGTAGAGTCGAATATTTGAAAAAAGTTGGTTTATGCTGAAGTGAGGTGATGTTTATAGATATTTTGGAAGGCTGTAAAGAGAGCACGGAAATTTGTTAGTTGTATAAATTTTGTGTCATTGTACATGGTTTAGTATCACCAACCTAAGCTACAAGAAAGGGATGTCTCACCTGGTAGCGACTAGTATGACACAAAATTAGAGCAAGACTATAGTGAATGACAAATTTTGTCCCCCCAAATTTTTTTTTAAGCCAAAATAATTTTTCTTCAATTTCTACTATTTTCACAACTATTTTGGACTAAGTGGCAGCCATGCTTATAACTTAAAAAAAAGAAAAAACAAAACCCAAAAACAAGCAAAAGGAAATCACTTGATTTAACACACATACTAAGGATGAAGGTAGGCTGATCTGCCCAAGTGTCCTGGTACAATTTTGCTGGTTTTATATAAATCGCATGAAGATTCTGCAAGCAAAATGTTTAAGAAGTAGGTATGCAAGCAGGATACCATAAGAGAAACGAAGGTCAGTTCTGTTGCTGCATGCCATTTACCCCCACTACAGCCAAATGCTCCAGGTGACAGGAACCAGGGCAGCCTACAGCTGTAGCTAACAGCAGAATGGTAACACTTACTGGTAGTACTAAATAAGAGACATAGTTCACTTTGAGCACTGAAGTAACAACACAGAAAAGCACCCAGCCTGTAGGACGAGCCTACGGCCACTCGCAGACCTGGCAGTAAGGAAGAGGGCTGGGAGTTCTCCTGCAGCAGCAAGAACTGGCAAGTTCTGGGGCAGCAGCTTCATGGTGAGACACACCAGTGTGAGAAAGGAGGAGAAATATTACGAGAAATCACATAAAACAAGTGTTTCCCATGGATAATGTATGTATCAATTATTCCCTGGCAAATGTACCTACGAGGGTTACCATGGGTAGCCTATTCCACAGCCCATGTCCTTATTCATCTCACAGTGGGACCGAGTTTCAGTAACAGAGGAATCAAGACTGAAAATGGTAACATTCACCTCCATGTTCTTGCCCTGACATCATTATTCATTAGGAGTTCTTCCTAATGACTGTTCAGTTCCTTCCTTCTAGGGAGCCACTCCTAATTCTCTTCTGTTCAGGTTGGATAATGAGTCACTGACTTTAATCTTTATTAACCCTTCCCTTGCACGACCAACATCTGGGAACAGCGAAATGCATCGTGTCTCATCTCTGAGAAAGCGAGCCCTTCAGTGCCTCCGCTGCGCCATTTTCTTGTACGCAGATAACCCGATGATTCCTGCAGGCTTTCTGCTGCAGGTTAATGAAAAAGTACCTTGTTTGTCTTCGTGCCCTTGGTTAATTGCTCTTTAACACCTTAGTCTACCTGTTTCCCAGTGTAATTTTGCTTTCCATAAATAACACTTCTTTTCTGCTCCCTTCTTGCCCAGCCAAAGTTTTAGTTGCAGCAAAACAGCCACTTGTGTCAAATAACTTCCCGAAGCACCTTAGCTCCCCTTATGTTTTTCCCCTCTGCTCTTTTCCTTTGGGGACAGAGGGTCGTGTTTGTGGGTGAACACGTAAGCCTGGTGGCATTCAGTTCCGCTGTGTCTACCTAAGTTCACAGGAAGTGTCAGGGCGTCAACAGCCAGGTATCAGGTGGGAGATGCTTTTGAGTAGTCGTCCCTTAAACAACAAAACAAACAAAAGTAAACTTACAAGATATTTTATTTACACATGATTTGCCATTCCTAAGACTATTGAACCTAAATATCCTATGAGACGATGAATGACTCAAGTACTGAATTCTTCTTGAATCAGCTCATGCTCACTTCTTAAGACTAATTAGAGAATGACCTGCCCTGGTTTGGATCAAACTTTGCACTCCGTTTGGTCAGAGCATTGGATACATGGAGGCATATCTGATACCTGCTTTTGATGCACTTCCTGTATGGTGGTACTTGTTCTTTGGACCAAATTTTGGTGTGTCTTGGGATATTTGGAATTCTGGAGTTCTTTCTCCTTGATCCTCTTTCCCGGTATTAGCCCTGCTGGTCAACTACCATGTTTTGTGTGTCGTACAGTGTTCTGCGGTGTTTTGTTGTTTTGATGTTACCATAACAAGTGCCTACTCTTACAGGAGAATCGAGAAAGTCTAAGGGAAAAGCAGTTTGGAAAGAGATCCAACTATTTACTTCAGAAACCACACTCTCAGATTATTACAAAACCAGATTTCTAGGAAGAAACTTGTATTTCTCATTGACTACTTCCATAGCTTTTTCAGCACTCTCTTATTTGACCGTCCTTACGCTGCACCAGACAGTCTTGGATACAAACATCCACCGAGCAGCCTTGAGTCAGCGCCGTGCTGCCGGTGAGCTAAACTGCCCGCTCCCCGAGACACAGCTACTCCCTGGTGGGAATATGTACTGGAGGCGCCAACCCAGCCCAACTGAAATCTCATTAACATGTTTTTCCCCCGATTAATAAATTAGCGTTGAATATACAGCACATGCAGCTTGACATTTTCTTGACACCTACATAGCAGAGAACAACTCAGAGGCTGTTATTGTTTCCATCACAAACCACACAGTTTGGGCTCAACCCTAATTCTGGCCTTCTAAAAATCACAGAATCACAGAATCCCAGGTCGGAAGGGACCTCAAGGCTCATCTGGTCCAACCTTTCTAGGCAAGAGCACAGTCTAGACAAGATGGCCCAGCACCCTGTCCAGCCGAATCTTGAAAATGTCCAATGTGGTGGAGTCAACCGCTCCCCCAGGGAGATTATTAAAAGTAATTTCACCCAGTTGAACCCAAATAAAGGTAATTCTGCACTGCCCATGCAGAAAAGAACTTTTTTCCCCCCCCCATGTAGTTTTATATTTATGCCTCAATCCCCGGGGGATTTTGTGATTTTTACAGCGCTGTGGGGCCACCGGCAGCGCCCAGCGCCTCCCGGATTCCCCCGGCTGGGAAGTTTTCTATTTATGC